TGTTGATTTTGTTGGGGATCGGGTGAGGTTTGAGTGGCGATGCGTTTGACTCGGTCAATTTCTTTTTGGGGGGCTTTTATTACTTTAATATCTGAGCCTTTTGAATTTTCTGGTTCGTGGGTTTTGATTTTAATTCGAGAGCTTGGGGATTTTACCTTTTACCAGTTTGCGTATACAGCCTCTGATTGTCTGTTTCGGCTGGGTGCATCGTCATCGACCGCCATGTCTGGAAAAAGTTTGAACTTGTCTTTTCCCGTTCATTAATTCTGCAACGTCCCTTTTAAAAACGATTATTTTTGCTGGGTTTTTTCTGAAAAAGATGTACTTGCTTTTGGTGTTGTTTTTTGCTGCTGAAATTAATTATTGTCACAATATTCACCTGGGTTTCACTTTCTGGGTTCTCATTGGCGACGATGCTGGGGGCAAATCTCGCAGAGCGAAAAGGTTTCGAAAGTGACAGACACAAGGAATGGTACCAATCAATCTTTCTGTTCTTGTTAAGGTGGCATTTCGGTTGATTGTTTTTTCCATGTGGTTTCATTTTTTTTCCTTTGTGATTTTACATGTGGACAGGGTCGCTGGTGGAGTCTGGTCCCACGACACCTTTGCCCGACAAAAAGTTGTTGGTGTTCATCTTGGACAGGCTTCAAAAGTATGTGCTGTTTGAGCTGCTTGGCTCTGTTCTTCCCTGTACCGCAATGGGCATTTTTTATTGGACTTTGATTGGTTCATTTATTTCTGCAGAAAGGACTCTTATGGGGTCTTTTCGGAACCAGTGGATCCGGAAGAGGTGCGTCTCTTGGTGTACTGTTCATGATAAGGGAGCCTGCATTGCGTTTATATTGAAATCTCTTTCTTGCAGCTTCCTGATTACCATGACATCATTAAGAATCCCATGGATTTTGGAACAGTGAAGAAGAAATTAGACGAGGGAGCCTACGCCAACTTGGAACAATTTGAGGTTAGCTTGTGTCCAATGAGCTCGTTGGTACCCCTGTTCTTCTTTTGATGTAACTGAATCTGCCATTAAGTCATATAGAGGAGACATGAGTTGTTAGAGGTAGAGAAAACTCGCATGAGATGATGAATCCAGGATTTCATCTTCAGTCTGCTAGCAGCACACAAGAGGAAAGAGGGGAGGCTTTTTACAAAAGAACTTTGCAGAGCGAGAAGCTGTCAAATTTGTGAATAAGCAGATATTTTAACATCTTTGGTTGCAGTCACTATGGTAATTACTTTATGGAGTTGTCAGTGGTGCTCTCAGTTTCTTAATTAATCTGGCACCTGTTCATTCATAATCGTTGGAGAGTAACTTCATGGCCTCTAAGCTCTCATAGATCTCATCTGTCACATAGATCCTCACTCCAGCATGCTTTTATGTGGAGACGATGGCGTCTGCAATTTTAGTTCATACAAAACTTTTCCTATCTTTTATAGTAACTGTTTCATTATTGAACTGGGTATGGACGTGCTGATAAAAAGTGCGTAAATAGAATCTTTACGTATAAAGTAATTATTTTGTTAAACGTGCTTTGTGAGTAAAATGTTCAAGAACAAGTGTATCTGAGATCTTCAGTGGTCAACCTCCTCGGCAGATCTATCTGGGTTGTCTGTTTAGTGCACTTCAAGCTGAGTTTCACAGGGAAAGCTCACTTGCACGACAATTTCTTAGTACCTCAATCTGTGAATGTGTGCTCTGGAAGTCTGTACAGCATTCTGATTCCTCTGAAAGCATTTGATGCTAATTTGGTAGACAGTTGTAACTGATTACTCTGGTTCTTGCAGAAAGACATCTTCTTGATATGCTCAAATGCAATGCAGTATAATGCACCAGATACTGTTTTCTTCAGACAGGTTAGGCCAGTCTCCAACTCATGTTACTGTTTCCAGATTGGATCTCTATTTCCCTACATTTGAAAGTCATGAACATGTGCATAGGCCCGAGCAATGCAAGATATGGCAAAAAAGGATTTTGAGAATTTGAGGCAAGATAGTGATAGCGAGCCCGAGCCCGAGCAACCAAAAGTTGTGCGGAGGGGAAGACCACCTGGCAGTGGCCTGAAGAAGTTGCCTGATAAGCCTCCTGTCAACAGCGTCAGTAGAGAGGGTTCGTCTGATGCAACTCTAGCTAATGTGGATAATTCATGCTGGTCTAACACCTACAATTTGAGAGTCCACAATCCCGGGCCTTCTGATTCAATCGGCACCCACAGGACTCCCAATATTGAGAGTCAACCAAGCTGGTTCTCTGATCTGGAGAATGAATTTCCAGGTACGAAACTGAAGTTAAAAGTCCTTGGATATCGATTTAGCAGATTTTTCTCCCTTGACGACATTCTGTTTCTTTGCAGCATCTGTTTGGAAAGCTGTCCTGAAAAATGGGAAGAAACTATCTCCTTCAGAAGAGAATAAACGCGACACCTATAAACAGCAGTTCGCTTCTAGACTTGAACAATCTGGTAGCTTTGATGGAGAAGTAAAGCATCTATCAGCGGTATGTTGGTGCAAATAATTAATTGTGAATTGTCAAGATAATTACAATTGATCAGGGGGTAGAGTACTCTGTGGGTCTGTATTCATTGGTGATATAAGCTGGATTCTTACCGTGGGTGGTTATTATACACAGAAAGGACTTGAGTTGCGAAAGAAGTGTGCATATTCAGACATTTTTCTCAAATTTGATGTTGTACAATCTTTGTAAAATGCAGTTGGGTTCTTGTTGGGTTGTGGACTTACTGTTTGACTAATTAATCAGGTAGGCGTATATCTCAATCATGGCTATGCGAGAAGCTTAGCTCGATATGCTGCAGATCTTGGTCCTTCTGTCTGGAGGATAGCTTCAAAGAAGATTGAAAGCGCTTTGCCACGTGGGGTTAAATTTGGTCCTGGATGGGTAGGAGAGGATGAATACATGGACCATCGGCATCTTGGGAGGCTAAAATCATGTATATCTTCTGGGCATCCTTGTGAAGATCTGCATATGACAGCTGCTGTCAAAAGCTTCAGCAATGCCCGGCGTTCTCCTCAGTCTGCAGAAGATATGGAGACCATTACAAGGCTGAACTCGCAAAGCAAGTTCATCAACGCTGGTGATTTCAAACCTTTGGATGACACTCCTGCAACCTCTTTTACTGGTGAAATCAGGATGGCGACACAACCAATGCCACCCATGGTCACCGCTCATACATACGAGGCTCCAGCGACTGTCGAGGTGCAAGGAGTGGTTTCAAGTGACTATGCTTCTGCTCATCCAGCACCTGGGGATGTCCTCCAATTAACTACTGCTCAGTTGTCTGGAAGCACCGAAACATCGCAGCCCTTCAACCCCTTCAGGTCACGTGCAGCATCAGAAGAGCAATGGTGGAACTGGCAAGGAGTGCCGATGGAGCGTAAACAGGATGCTGTCCCAATTGCTCTTTACCACAACAATGGATTCCAGCTGCAAGGTTCATTGAATTCGAACTTGCAGCTTGGTTCTCCCCGGCAACCAGACTTAGCGTTACAACTATAAGGATTGGTTGCTCACTCTTCATCTTGAATGGTGGCACATTTGTTAGCTCGTTGGACAATGCATCATAAAAGAAGGATTTTTATTTTTTCAAATGAAGTTTTCGCTTTTTGTTGGCTCCATGAATATCCTCAAGCCATCATTTATCTTAAGCACTCTGAAGAAATTCTGTACAGAAGTAGAACTACAATGGTATACAAGCTGATTTGAAAACACAACATGGGTTCCGTGACGTGAGGCTCCAGATTCAATGAGTAGAAAACCCTATTTCCTGTTTCTCTACTGATGTAGTTTTACCGCGGAGAATGTGTCTTGAGAGCCAAGACTTGACTTAGGCATGTCCGAGAATGAAGTTGGGTTTTGGCTAGGGTTGATGCTGTTTGATTGAACATCAAACTCATGAAAAACAGGGCTGATTAAGCCATTTAAAGCCACAGGGGAAGTTGTCCTTGTTTGTGGTCAAGTCAGATCAGATTGTGTGCGTAGAAGATGCTTGGTACACAGTTAAAGCCAAATCATCACGAAAAGGCTCAAGATATTGCTTTGGCTTGTAGTGGCAAGCCAACAGTCTCAGTTGAAGGTACCTTTGAGTTGCATCACAGACGGTCGGTACACCCCGAGCTTGACCAGATTGTTGAGAATGTCCACCTTATTTTCTTCCATTTTCTTGCTTATTTACATCCACTGAAGTTAAACCAGACAACGCCAACGCGTATGCATGTTTCCATACATAAACAGGCTTTCGTGTCCTAAAAATTGATGTATAGTGTGAAATTTCCGTTTACGCGCGAAAAGCTTCAATTCATTTCGGTTGCTTGTCACCACCCAGCGTCCCTTCGAGGCAGTTCTTACACAAGAACATGACTAAATCACAACGAGAACTTAGAGAAACATGATCAGCAGCAGCTGCGGAGATCAGATGAGCAGATTCGAGAAGACTGAAAAGGTACGAACTGAAGAAAGAAACTAGAGCAAGATGGTCTCACCATACTTGCCTTGAGAGGAAGAAATTGTATATCGAAGCTTCAACAATTGGGTTACTTAGAATTGGGTGGCGAACTAGATGGCTGACTGCACAACACTTAAATATCGCTAATCCGTCATGGATTAGGTTAATCACTTGTTGCTATCTCGACCGGAGTACTAGAACCTTGTTTTTTTCGGTTGTCCAAGAGAAGAGAAACAAAAGACAATTATTACAACGTTTTCAAAACGATTCTGTCACCATCGACTCTTCTACACACGATTCTCTCTCTGAATTCAAGCGACCATATTTTATTTACAAAAATTAATTCTTGCTGCTTCTGAAATCAATTGATCCGACTTGGGACATACCATCATCGCCCTAGCCAGCGTCGACATTCAACAATCTCAATAACAACGTTCGGATGGTCGGATAGCATTGAAGAACATTGATATGGGAGGCTGATGATCTGGGAGATTACCAAGATAATTTTACATTTAACCGCATGTTGCAACGACCTGAAAAGTGTGGATGCTGAACTTGTTGAATTGTATATACAGCAAAACACGGGATGGTCAAGAAAGACAACTGAAATCTGAACAGAGAAAGCAAGAGGAAATTATGCAAAGAGACAAAAGGAAAGATATAGAATTCTCTTCCTCTCTAATTTGATCTCTCACAAATTATTAAGATGGGTAAAAAGAAAATTCAATGAATCCTCATTCCTAACCCGCTATTCCTCCAAAATCTTGCACCCTGATAACTAAAAAAGAATCGTCTTCCAGTATATTCCCCCGTGTGTTTACCATCAAATCTCTCATATATCCACGAGTCAAAACCCATGCCGAGAAAATGAGAGCATCATCGGATGGTCGAGTCGTCGCCGCCGTCGTCATCTTTGCCAAGCCATGCTGTACCCGGAACCCAACTCCGACCCGTACCACCTCCGCGTCAATGCCTTCAGCCTATCGTCCCTAACCTCGCAAAACCGCTCGGCCCAGCCTCTGGGCTCGACCGGCTCGAACCCGAGCCCGGGTGTCCGGTCCTTGGATGCCGGGTTGATCGCTTGGGTCCAGTCCATGACGTAGGCCGAGACTCGCCTCCTGAACTTGGTCTTGAACTCGGACCACGCCTGGTACTTGTAGTGGTTCACCACCCCGTCCTCCAGCCTCACCTGCTTCGTCCTGTACCCTTCCTTCAGCCTGAAGTGGTGGATCACGTTGAGCAGCGAGGCGTCTGCAGCGTCCAGCCGGAGCACCGACTTGTGCCGCTGCTCTATCCTCCTCCGGCACGTGTAGCCCTGCGTCACCCCCTCCGGCGGGTGCGTCTTCCGGTGCGACGGCCCGAACTCGTAGCACTTGATCGAGACCTGCCCGTGCCGAGCCGGATCATCCCGAGCCGGCAACAGCGAGGTCAGCATGAGCCTGGACGACAGCGCCGAGCCGTTCCACGCCGGAGCGAAGACGAACTCGTCCACGTCCACGTACGCCATCCATTCGCACGAAGCGTTCGCGTATATTGCGCCGTGGGAGAAGCCGGCCTCCTGCGTCTTTGGCCACGGCCACGTCAGGACGCGGACGTCGTAGCCGCCGCGGTTGAGGTCGCCGACGACCGACCGGAGGCCGTCGTCGCTGTCGTTGTCGTAGAGCAAGAACCGGTCGACGCCGATGCTGGCGTGGTACATCACCCACTCCCTGAGGAACTTGGCCACGTTGTGCACCATCGTGCACGCGCACAGTAGCGAGCGAGGGCCGTCCGCCGCTAACCTGCGCCTCCCGGGGGTGTAGTACGCCACCGAGGGGATCACCCGATTCTCGCGCGCGACTTCGAGCGTGATTTTGATTTCGATTTCCGTTCCGGAGTTGGCGGCGGGGAGCTTGGGGTGCGCGCAACGGAAGACCTCCTGGGCGGAGCTCGTGACGGCGGTCCTCACGGCGGTGGCCGGATCGTCGCCGAAGACGCAGCGCAGCTCGCCCGGGGACCTGTTGATGCCTTGCCGGTTGTTCACACCCTTCACGAACAGAACGACGTCGTCCTCCGTGGACAGCGACTCGTACGCGAGGAAGTTCCACCGGAAGAGCTCCTCCGCCGCCTCGCCTCTCGCCGGGAACGCCCCCTCCGACGGCGGCGACCGCGCCAGCGCCGGCTGGTAGAACGGCCGGAGGCGGCGGACGCTGGGCGGGAGCTCGCACTTGAACATCGTCCGGTTCGTGAAGGGGAGGGCCCCGGCGAACGTCGCCGGCGAGGTGGCGTTGTTCTGGAACACGCAGTGCCAGTCGCGACCGCCCGCCATCCCCGGGGGCGCGATGACGAGCAGCTCCCAGGCGGGGAACAGGATCGAGACGGCGTCGATCGTTTCCTCGGGGACGGAGGACGCGTGGCGGGAGGGGACGGGCCCCGCCTCCCGGATCGCGTAGTTGAGCGCGACGGCGGCGGACTGCTCCGAGGGCCGCGCCAGCGAGAAGTTGGAGAGCCCGAACCGGGGGGGGGCTGCCGCCGGAGAGGCGGAGGTGGAAGTGGAAGAAGGCGAGGAGGGCGACGGCGAGGAGGAGGAAGGTGGTGCGGACCTTGCCGCGCATGGCGATGGTCTCGAGAGTGGGGAGATGGACGGAGGAGGGAAGAAGAAGGTGGTGGTGGTGGTGGGTGGGCTTCGAGGAGGGGTGCATGGCTTCGCCTGACTCCGCTGTTCCTGTTCCCTTTTATTCTCTGCCTGGAATGCTATGCTATGCTGGGTAGGACCTTCCAGCTACGCCCGGAGATTAAAGAACGATTCTTCGTCGGCTTCTGCTTCTTCTTCTTCTTCTTCTTCTTGACTCACTCCATCATCGGACGACGTGAAGGTAACATGCGATCAGAAGGAAGGTAAGCAAAATTGGGGAAGAAGAAGAAGGAGGAGGAGAAGAATAGGAGTACGTGTGACGATGATGAGGTCAACAGAGGAGGCGGCCGCGTCCCGTGTAATTTTCGACCCCGCGTTCTCTTCTTCGAGCCGTTTTGCGACGTCGCGCGGCCCGAATCGAATTAGAATTAGGATTTTGCGGAATTTCCAAGAAATAGAAATAATTTAGGATCTTGGGATTTTACCCAAAACAATTTTCGGGGGTTAAAAGATCCCGAGTTGTAAAGATTGTTTTTATCACGGCACGCAATTGAATATGCACTTCTTCCTTGTGGCTAAAGAATTGGACCGACTGACGAGATGGACTATATATCACGATGACGACGGCATTAAATTCGTCATTAAACACGAGATTCATGTCGAGCATGACCATGCACGGGGAGAGTCATTGGTGGATTTTGGGTTATATTTAGTGGAAAGAATAGGGAAGCTTTGGGGATGAGCATGGGTTCGGTTCGGAGAAGGAAAGCCAAAGTTTTAACTAGTGATGAGTTTAAGGGCCGTGGTTCAGATAGGAAGCCAGCTCAGTGCCGAAGGTTATGAGGGAGATACTGCTAGCTTCGAATGTTTTCGCTCGCGCTCTTATGCATTTTCACGACGTAAGTTATCGAATTGTTCTTCGTAAGTAAATGGATGGAGAGAAATTACCGGCGTCAAAGATCCATTTTGGGTGTTACCAATGAAGGCCTCGCATTCGTTACAGAATACTTAGACTAGTTCGCAGGAAATTCCGCATTGCCTCTTGTGTTCCGAAGGTCAAGCCCATCGATGCAACTCCATCAAAAAATTTCAGCATTCCATAAGTCTCGCCGCATGAGTATGTCGCAACTAAGCAATGCGGTACAAGCCGGCGAAAGATTCACTCACGAAATGAAATGAACTCGTGATTCCGTGACAAATCAATGGCCCCTTCTAACACATTTGAGTTATGAGCTAAATATATAAAAGGCAAAATCAACATTGAAGTTTACATGTTGATGACTATTTTCACTCTAGTTATATTTGATTTGAAGTAAGATTTGCCTCTTACTTGGCGCATAGCAATCATTTCGCTGCCCTAATGCATTCTCGTCGAAATGATTCTTTTTGATTCTCGTGCCGGAACCGATTCTCGAGCATTTGAAGGCGTTGTAAGCCCAAAATTTCTATTCCCGAAATAATAAAAGAAGTAAATGCGTTTGGTAATGGCATAAAATTTCTTTTTATTAATAATATTTTAATAACATTTTAAATATTTTAATATTTCTTTCTTTTCTTTTTTCTTCTCCTCCTTCTTGGCCATGGCCGTAAAATATTTTTTAATTAATAATACTTTTATTAAAAATAATTTATTTTTTTTGCCATGCCATGGCCGGTAAAAATTTTTCTTATAAATAATTTTTTTATTAATAATTTTTTAAAAAAATATTTTACTAAAAAATATTTTTATTGAAAATATTTTTTCTTTTTTTTTCGCCATGGCCTGGTCGCTGGCCATGGCCGGTAAAATATTTTTTTATTAATAATATTTTAATAAAAATATATTTTTATTGAAATTATTATTTTTATTTTTTTTTTCCATGGCCGGTAAAATATTTTTTTATAAATAATTTTTTTATGGGAAAATTTCAATTAAGGACCCCAAGTGGGGTCAAATTCTCAAAAGAGGACCCAAAGTGAACATAGTGTCAAATAAGGGCTCGAAGTGCCCAATCAGTCTCAAATAAGGACCCGAAGTGCCCAAAAAGTCTCAAATAAGGGCATGGGTCGCCGATCGCCAAAATGCCCGCCGGCCGGCGAGAAAGTTACTATTCCAAGACCGGAACGTAAAATTTTTATTTTTTTATTATTTTTCTTTTCTATTTTTCCTTTTCTTTTTTTTTTTCTTTTCCTTTTTTTTTTTCTTCTCTTCCCTCGGGCCATAGCCGGCCGGGCGGAGGTCGCCGCCTCAGCGAGGCCGCCTCCGCCGGCGGCGAGGGCCGCCTTGCTCGGGCCGGGCGAGGTCGGCCTCGCTAGTTGCTCTGGCGAGGTCAAGCCTCGCCGGACCGCGAGGGCTCGGCCCTCCGGCCGCCGGCGAGGCTCGACCTCGCCGGCGTCGGCGAGGCCGGCCTTGCCGTTGCGAGACCGGCTCGCCCGACGCCGGCGAGGCCGAGCCCTCGCCGATCCGCGAGGGCGGCTCGCCTGCAACGGGCTAGGCCGACCTTGCCCGACGGCAAGGTCGAGCCCTCATCCGCGAGGCGGCCTCGCCCGAGGCCGGCGACCTCCGGGCCCGGCTATGGCCGACGCAGAAGAGAAGAAAAAAAAAGAAAAGGAAAAGGAAAAGAAAAAAACCGAAAAAGAAAAAAGTAAAGGAAAAATAAAATTTTTTACTGTTCGATGCCGGAATAGTAATATTCTCGCACTACGGCATTTTGTCACTGCGACCCAGCCTTTATTTGAAATTTTTTGGGCACTTTGGGTCCTTATTTGAGATTGATTGGGTACTTCAGGCCCTTATTTAACGCTATGTTCACTTTGGGCCCTCTTTTGAGAATTTGACCCCACTTGGGTCCTCAATTGAAATTTTCCCTTTTTTTATTAATAATATTTTAATAAAAAATATTTTTATTGAAAAAATATTTTTTTTTTCGCCATGGCCTGGTCGCTGGCCATGGCTGGTAAAATGTTTTTTTATAAATAATTTTTTTATTAATAAAAATATTTTTATTGAAAATATTTTTTTTTATTTTTTTCGCCATGGCCGGTAAATTTTTTTTTATTAATAATAATTTTTTTTTATTTTTTTTGCCATGGCCTTGTCGCCGGCCATGGCCGGTAATTTTTTTTTATTAATAATATTTTTTTTTATTTTTTTCACCATGCCCGGTAAAATTTTTTTATTAATAAATTTTTTTTATTAAAATATTTTAATCTCGCTAGATACGGCGAGGGTGGCCCTCGCGCCGGACATTAGAAGTTATATTAAAAACCAAGAAAAAGAAGAAGAAAAAAAAACTGATTCTCATTTTTGTTCCCAGAATCAAGAAGCTACTTTTTTTATTATTCTTGATTCTGCTCCAAAACTGATTATGAGCACAAATTTGCAAGAATTTGTGCCCAGAATCAAAAAATTAAACAAATGAATTTCTATTCCCAAATTGATTCTGGGAACAAAAGAACATAATCAAATACTATTTGGCAAGTTGCCATGCGCAGCCTTTTATACTCCTCGTTTGCATTCTGCTAAAAAGCCAATCCACGGTAGTTTCTACTTATTTCTGACAATAAAGTATGGAGATGGATAGACTTTTATGTCTTTTCAAATCAAGTCCTGCATTTTTAATTTGTCTAATCCAATCCTTCGATTTTTTTTAAAATTTTTTTTAAATCAAGTCACGGAGCGAGAGGGGCTCCTTCCCTCTCTATCGTAATTTTTGGTATATATTATATATTAGCCCCTAGAAAAATTAGTAATCTCTAATATACAGAGTATAATTCCATCCATAGTTTCAAGTTAATAAGATAAGAGTCAAGTGTCTCGGATCAAATAAAAATTGTTGTTTCATCCATAAAACGCGAAAAGAAATATGTGAAATTTTCATTCTCTAAATATATGCAATGGCTTTGTTAATTTCTTTTTTTTGTCGCACACAAAAGCGTGCCTTTTTTTTTTTTCTAGTTTGAAGGGAGTAAAATAGCAATAGCCGTAACGATTAAGGAATTAATTTGTTTTCCACCATTAGTTTATAGTCGTTATCTCATCTTCTATTAAGGAAGATAAAGGGTTAAAGAGAAAAGGAAAAGAAAAAAAGTCACAGAAAATTCAAAACTATACACACTGTGGTACGTACATTTATCCTGAATTTTGTTTTTACATAAAAAACCTCACCGTGACACATTTATTTTAAATTTTTTCTTGTGACATAAAAAACCAAAAACTTGTACTTATGTGACATATTTACCTCAGTCAAGGTTCCGTTGGACTTTGACCACAAAGAAAGAGAAAAGGTTTCGTTAGACGGTTTTTCAATCAAAACATCGGTTATTTCACTTAAATCACGTGGGCTCCATGTCAATATTGATGCAGGCTTTTAATGGTTTTCATTGACATAATTTTGACGGGGATAAATGTATCACACATGTACTAATTTAGGATTTTCAGGTTAAATATGTTACGGTGAGCATAATTTGGGGTTTTGGGCAGCTTTTGGTAAAAAAAAAAAAAGAACAAATTACTTGGAAATAAAAAAAAAGGGATAATACATATAATTGATGGCCAGTAAGGAAAAAGAAGCCCGAACACGTCTAATTGCAAAAAGGAGATGGACTGAAATTTGAAAGGTATAGTTTTGGCAATCTCCATACGCCAACCGTTTAAAAGAAAATACTAGAAAATCCCCTAATCATCGTCATTTGACTCCTTCTCCAAATGAGAAATGCCAAGATTCCACCCGAATTGTTATATATATATATATATTATGTGGGTTACTTTCATTACGATATAACTCGCTGTTCATCTGAGGAGTTCGTATTCGACGCGGGTCAACGTCCTTTCTGGGGACCCACTTCTTGAAGGATTGTTGTTAAGTGGAAGTTGTTGGCTTGGTCCTGTCCAGATTATTCTTAATTAACACGATGGTGAAGAAATTAAGACGAAATGGAGAACCCAATGCACCTACGCTTATCCGGCTTAGGAGCCTTTGCAATCTAATTTCTCTGGGTCTCGCATTGTACGTAAGGCCAAAAATGCTGGACCATCGGTCCATATCTAAAAGAGGGTATCTATTAGCGAACGGTTCGTTGCCGATGCTTGAGAATTGATCGAGATTAATCGAGTCAATCGAAAGAACTGAACTCATATCGAGTCTTCGCGAGGATACGTCGTGATAGAATTCATCGCACCCCTTGTTCCTTCTGATGCCATCTATTTCCAGTGTCGACAGATGAAATGGCTTTTCTTTTTTTTTTAATCCTTCTTCTTCTTCTTTTTTCCCAGACCATCAGTTTATGCAATGGAAGGGGCTCATTTAACTATTCTATACTCTATTTCTATCCAGAAATATACTCATTATACTTTAGCCGCG